GCCTGACCTAGGGTGAATTTTAAATAGGGATAATTTTTAATGATTTTAAATAGTCACAGCCACTAATATTTGGATTTTAATTGGTTTTTAGAAGGGGTAATTCTGTATATTGTTTTAACATGCTGTGAGCCGCCCTGAGTCCCATGGGGAGAAGGGCGGCATATAAATTTTGTAAAATAAAATAAATAAATAAATAAATAATATATGCTCTTTGGAAATAACACTGAAAGTCTGGATGAAGATTATCATTACAAATACCTAGGCATCCTTCAAGATGACAACATCAAGCACACCAAAGTCAAGAAGTGAATACATTATGCAAGTGAAGATCTTAAAGTCCAAACTCAGTAGATGAAAGTCAATTAACACCTGGGCAATTCCAACTGGAATAGTGGATTGGACTCAAGAAGAACTAAAAGCCCTGGGTAGGAAGACCAGAAAAATAATGACAATGAATCATGCCCTTTATCCTTGCAGCGACATTGACAGACTCTACCTACCATGGAATATAGGTGAATATGGAATGCTGCAAGTAGACCAGACAGTTGAAGAAGAAAAAAGGGCATTGGAAGAATATCTGAAGGACAGTGAAAAAGATGCACTGAAGCTAGTACACCATGAAGGCCTACTAAATAGTGGAGGGACCAAACTGGCTTACAAGAAAGATCAAATGAAGAATAGAAAAGAGATTTAGCAAGACAAAGTATTACATGGCCAGTGTGTTTTTTAAAAAAACAGGCAAAGCAGAAAATAATCAAGACTTGGCAGTGGCTAAGCTAACAGTAGGAAATTTGAAGAAAGACAGAGGGGCTACTTAAGAACAAACACATACAAACCCAACTTGAGAAGATAAGCAACAGGCACCAAATGCCATCTCTGCAACCTGAAAAAAATATGGACCGCCTGGTTAACTACTGCAAGATGATCCAAAACAGACTGACTCTAAACAATCACATGACAAAATAGCAATAATTGTGCACTGGAATGTCCACAAGAAATATCATTTATCTTCAAGCAAGAACTGGTGGGATCATAAAATAGACAAAGTGATAGAAAATGAAGGGGCTAAAATGCTTGCGGACTTTAGTTTTGAAAGAGATAATCACCTGCCACATAACATCCCAGACTTAATAATTGTTGACAAATAGTCAACAAAGCCTGGATAGTAGACAGGGCAGTATCTGGAAACAGCAGAATAGAAGAGAAAGAACTGGAGAAAATCACAAAATAAGAAGACCTGCAAATCGAAGCAGAATGACTGTGGCAAAATAAAACAAAATAATACCAATAGTAATAGACACCTTGGGCGCAATTCCAAAAACCTCTGGAGCACCAATCGAAGGTCATTGGTACTAACAAATCACCAACAGTCAATTCCAAAGACAACTTACATCCTGCAACAATATGTTTAATACCATGAAATGACATCTCCCTATCCCAGGTCCTTGGGAAGGACTTAAGTAGATAAAAATGCCAAATCCAGTCTAAATATCTGTCTGACTAAACGAACCATAATAATAAAGCATTTATACCCCAAATCATTTTAGGCCACCTAAAATCATACAACCACAGTTCCAGACAGATGCAATGAAAGACTGGAATTCTGACAAACGTCTATTATAAGGATGGTGATAGAACACTGTATTTTGGTTAAAATTATTCACTTTTACACGGTTCAATTTCTGAAGTATCTCATCTATTCAGTGTATTTCTACAGACCTCGAATAATTTAGAAACAGTCTGGCAGTCAAGATCTCCTTAATTTCAAATCTCTCGTAAAGTTACATAAATTTTTGTTTAGTTACAACTTCCAGTTGTATTTTAGCATAATTTTGATTTTAAGGGTTTTTTTACAATTTTCCATACATTTTTCTAATTTCATTTCTTTTTGGAAATATGCAAGTCTTACTGAACAGATAAAGTTTGAATTAATAAAGGAAAATATTTGTAGCTCAGGTTGAATGAGGGTTCCTTGGTATTCTGTGAGCTTGTTCTCTTGCACAAGTTTCATTACCCAAACTAGGTAATATCATCACCTAGTTTGGGTAATCAAAAGTCTGCAAGAAAACAAGCTCAGAGAACACCAAGGACTCCTCAAAGTTTGAACTGGAGAAAATATATTCTCATTATATCAAGGGCTCTCTAGGACATGTGAACATATGATTTGGGGTGGCTCTGTAGATTTTTGGATGCAGATATTTGATTACTTATTAATCTCTATTTGCAATGTGAAGGTGGGAGTCATGCAGACAGTTTTGGACAAGACAAGATACGTTCCTTCACTTTTCAGGAAAAGTTGGCTAAACATGACTGTATGGTTTTGATTTATCCAAATGTGAGCTGCAGCATTTTGAACATATAGATTATTCACCATATTTTTGTACAATTATTTTTATTCGATGGAATTACTGGGTAGCTTGAAAGGCAGCGTGTCTAATTACAGAGATATGAAACCGATGAATTTAGGTTAATTTTAAATTCAACAATATATAAAATTTGGATTTGTATTCACTCTATTGCTTGACCTGTGTTTTGAATGTTGACCAGAATGAGTAACCACCTTTAACTTTGCCCAATATTTCCAGCCATTCTTTTTCCCTTAGCTAAATCGTGCTATCAAAAATGAGAATTGAGGAACCGCTATGGGAACAGGAGAATTTCCCCGACGCGGAAGGACAGGGCCGGCTGACAAACCAGCATGGAACTTCTCACCCAGTTGCCGAAGCCGAACTGCTCGATAGCATCCAGTAAGAGTTGCTCCTCGCGGCTGCTCCAGCCACCCTCGGCCTCGGCCCCCCAGAGAGTGAAACGCCCACCATCTACCAGCTGGTAGCCATGCCAGCGCCTATGCGGGCCAATCTCGGCGCCCGCTGAGAAGCATTCGGGGCAAAGCTCGATGTCGGTACATTCGGTGCAGCGAAAACGAAGCGAGCTGACCTCAGCCAAGCAGTACACGCAATACTTTTTCCCTAGTTCCGCCATCTTGCTTCCCCCCGCCCCCCCCTTAGAGGTAAAAAGAGCAGCGAAGGTTTGACGTCCAAGTTTGCGACAGCGACCAACTCCCGCCCACTAATCGAGGCAGAACTTTGTGGGTGTGTCCCAGGAAGAAATAGCCAATCGACTTCGAAATGTGTTATGCTCTTCCACGCGCAACTTCCAATCAAGCCTCGCTTCTCTTAATTTCTTCCCATTGGTTGACAAAAGGAACTTTTGTTGCCTAGCGACGGAGCAAAGCGATTTGTTTACGGGGGGGGAGGAGAGAGAGAGAGAGACGAACGGTTGGATGCTATGGAGGAGATACAGGAGGTGGCGGAGGAGGTCTCTACTCCAGTGCCCCAGGATCTCGAGGATGTCGTCGTCCCGATTTCCCCAGAACCACATAAGTCGCCCGCGGATGCGGAGACGGCAGAGGCCGCGAAGAGTCCCCCCGCTGCAGAGCCTCCGGAAGGAGAGGGAGGCGAGGCGACCGTAGGAGAGAAATCGCAACCGGCGGCTGAAGAGTCACCAGCATTAGAAGGAGCGGACCAGGAGTCCCTGGCGGAGGGGCAACCGGAGCACGCAACCTCGAGCGAAGGTCCAGGAGAAGCGGAGGCACCGAAGGATGGGGAGGAGGAGGACAAGAGGGCTCCGTCGGAGATTTCCTCTCTGGAGAAACTGGAAGAACAGAGCGGGGCGCCGGAGGTTGCCTCCAGGTTGTCGCTCCTCCGCGACTTGCCCACCAGCGTCTCCTTCGACGAGGGCGAGCTGCCGGAGCCGTCTCCGTTGCAGGTTGGCGTGGAACTGGGCCAGAGGCTCAGCCGCACACTCTGGGAGTTGGAGCAGAGGCACGCAAGCAGCCGCTCCCTAGATGTCAGCGCCAGCCCGGAGAGCGAGCTGGGCGCGGTGGAAGGAGAGACGGAGGAGCAGAGGGAGCAGCGCGTGGCCGAGGAACAGCGGCAGCGAACCGAGCTCATTGAACAGTACCGGCAGCTGCTGGCCGAGCGAGGCCGCCTCCGCAGCTACAACACCAAGCTGCAGGGCAAACTGGCCGAGCTCTTGAACAAAGCTAAGGGCAAGGATCGCGTCCGAGAACTAGAGCAGCACATCTCGGACTGGGAGCAACGCTACAGCCGCTACCTGGCTATGTTAGAGAAGTTGCGCAACCAGCAGGCGGAGGAGACGGCTTGGTACCAGAAGGAGATCGATGCTCTCCAGCGGTCCTGCGATCAGAAACTGGCCAAAGTGGAGAGTGAATGGAAGACCTATCAGGCGGTCAAGAAGGAAGTAGCTGTATATACTATGGGGAGGCGGCTGGGAGGTAAACAAGCTGCCATCAAGGAAGTGGACAAGATCCAAGCTAAAGAACAAAGCAAGGAAAGGGAGATGACAGAGGTGAGCCATGCATAGAAGAGGGATGTTAAATGCCCTTTCTAAACAGCCTGCTGTTGGGATAATTGCATTAACTAATTTTAAGATGTGGCAGTCTCTTTTTCTACATCTTTCAATTGAAGTGTCTTTGAGACTTAACATTGAACAGGCATATATTATCTCATAACTGTGAGGCCTATTAAGGAAACCAAATTCATGATTAGGAGAAATTGAAACTGATTGAAATGTCATTCTCAGAAAAAGCAAAGTTAATCTAAACCAGTGATGGCAAACCTTTTAGAGACAGAGTGCCCAAACTACAACCCAAAACCCACTTATGCATCGTCAGGTGCCGGGTGGGCGTGGCCCATTGGGTGGGTGTGACCCATTGGGTGGGCGTGGCTGCAGTGGTAACAGCAGACTGGGTGGGACTAAAAAGTTCAATCAATCAATTCCAACTTTGCAAGATCTTTTTTTTCCGCGCGAGAAGTTGAAATTGACTGATTGATTGAACCTTTTTTTTTTTTTGCACACGGCGGTGGAGGCCTAAAGCGAAAAGGTTTTATAAAACCCAGCTGAAGGCCTAGGACTGGGGCAACGGCGCGCGTGCCCACAGAGAGGGCTCTGAGTGCCGCCTCTGGCACCCGTGCCATAGGTTCGCCACCACTGATCTAAACCAAAGCATTTCCTGGATCTTATGGCCAGCCTTGCAAATAAGCCTGTAAAATTCCTAACTTGCAAAGTAAGTAAACCTTTATAATGGCAGAATTTGTAATTTTCAACAGCCTAGGTTAGTACTTGTGCTATTAACAGTAGCAGGATGATGAGGAATAATTAGTTTAGTTTATACAGTTTCTTATCAGGATTTTTGTAAAAGAACTGCTTATCTAGATTTAAGTTTCAGTTTGTTCTATATTCAATATTTCACTGGCTTAACTGATGAAAGAGCAGTGAGGCAAGGATAAACACCCCAAACTTAAGATGCTGAATGTTAACAAAATCTACTATTCTGTTCTCATGATAGCCAGGAATATAATGGTCAAGGACTGTATCACAAAACTTTTGAAAGTCCAAGTAAATAGTATCTGCTGGATCATCTCGGTCTTCATATTTATCTGCACAACATTGGCTTCTAAATCAAAAGTAGGAAACACTGGGGAACTAGAGGTCATTCTTTGGGAATAGGGCCTCAATAGGCAGAAGGAAAATTCCATACAATCATGAATGTATGTCTTAGCTCTTTTGATTTTATATCTTTCCTGGAAATATCAGTTTAAGCTATTGTTTCTGCTTCTCTGCAATTTCCTTATTCTAGAATTGCCACAGAGTTAGTGAGTAGTGCTTCTTGAAGATGTGACATCACTGATTTTTTTAAACAGTTGTATTAATTTTTGAATGTTTATTAGCCCAATTTAATGTGCTATCTATAGTGCCCAATTTTTTTATAGGCTACAATCTATGACCACCTATTCACATGGACTCCATTGTATTCTAGTTGTTAAGACATCAGCCTCATTGGTATAGATGACAAATATGTTTGTTCAAAAGAAAATAGCTGAATGAGCCATTAAAGCACTTAATTATAAAATCATTGATTCATAAAACTCATGCCCTTGACCTGGTATATTCTAAAATTCAAAGTATAAGAAATAACCAAGCTTGAAGTCTTAAGTCCTTTGGTAGTTGTAAATATATGGGATGAGCCACATATTGGATGGTGCTCAAGATGGCTAACAATATAATTTATCAGATGCTATATGCAGTATGCCACCGAGCATCATCAGCAATAATTCATTCACATGACAGAAGCCTGCCTTGATGTCCAAATACTAAAACAACCATAAAGAAATCCTTCTCTGTGTTCTCATCAAATGTGTCTCTGATAGTGACAGGTTGCAGATAAGGCCCTGGGCATCCAGATTAAAGTTATGTCCAGGAGCACTATTATATATGTCTCTAATTATACTAAAAATGCAAATCCCGGGTATATTCATGTTGAGAAAAATAGTCGAACATCGGGATAAATATAAAAACAACTGTTTAATAAACTAACAACTGTTTGATAAACTTAGCTTTCGGTCAGAGTGGAATGCCGGAGGTTCGAAAGCCTGCTTATAAGACCTGCAGTTTGTGTGCTCTGCTCATAGGAGGCGGGGTGCCACACTCACAACCGGGGGGGGGGGGTGGCTACAGGATAGGAGGCACTGGGGGACCACCCTGTAGCAACATGTACCCAGATATGTCCAAAGCGGGCAAAGAGAGTGACAAGAGAGGCGGTGATCCCCGAGCTTACGAGTATACAGATGGATGCAAGACTATTAGAAGCAATACGGTTAACTGGGACGGGTAGACCGGTAATGCGTTCTATGAGCAGAGTGCACAAACTGCCGGTCTTATAAGCAGGCTTTCGAACCTCCGGTATTCCATATATATATGTGTGTGTGTGTGTGTGTGTGTTTATTTTTAGATACAGTTGGGATATGACTAAAATCTGGAGCAAATCCTATTAAAATCAAAGATTCATCTGCATAGTGTTACTGAAGGTTAAATCTCAAATCCCATGCTCTTTTAGGGGTAAATCAGTGGGGCTTATCTGAAGGCTAAATCTTAACTTAAGAATTGCCCTGTAACTTAACAGAGTTCAGAAAGAGATTTTTTCTTTGACTGCAGAGGTCTTTGCAAATCATGCCTAAAGACTCTTCATAACTATTATCCAAATCTCTGATTTAGAGAATGGTTAATAAAAGGCTGTGTTCTCATGGCATGCCACACTGTATTTCAAATTAGTATTGCTCCAACATAAAACAGTTATTTGGTAGTATCATTAGACCAGTTTTTATCATTTTAGGTCCGTCTTGAAAATATAAAATTGAAACACAGGATCCAAAAAATTGATGCAAGTCTAAAAGCCCAAGAAGAACTGGCAGAAGGCTTACATTTAATAGACTTTGAGCAACTGAAGATAGAAAACCAGACCTACAATGAAAAAATTGAAGAGCGTAATGAAGAACTTCAGAAACTCCGGAGAAAGGTCACCAATACAGTGCAAGTACTGTCTCAAGTAAAAGAAAAACTGCAATTTGTGGAAGCAGAGAATCAAGGCCAGAAGGCTCAGCTAATGGCAGTGGAGAGTCTAGGAGCCCAAAACAGAGACATATTGACAAGGACAAAGCAGGCTCGTGATAAATTGAGAATAGACAATCAGAGGCTTCAACAGAAATGCGGTTTACTTGGAAATACATTGTTATTGAGAGACTTTGAGGAGAAAGTGGATGCTGCTGAGATACTGAAAGAGAAATTGGAAATATTGAAGCGTAATCATGCTGGATTGTCCCTTACTTGCAATGGAATCAAAAAGAAAATCAAAGGGGCAAAATCTTTTCTGCCATTCTAAATATCTTTAATGGTAAACAGGTCAAAGTAATAAGTAAAAAAAAAATTAAAACATTTGTGTCTTTAAATTAAGGTGTGGTTAGGAGACAATTGGGCCTCAAATTCAAATAGCCATGAGTGCTTATATAAACAGAAAGAAAGGATATCACTTTAATAATAATTTCATAAATACCCTGTTAATTTATAATTGACAATAAAAGTCTACAAAACTAAACTCCTAACAGAATCTTTATTCAATTTTTAATGCAAAAAATAGATCATAAGCAAATGTTGGCAATTATTAATGAATAAGCATAATAAAATTGTAAAATGCTTAGCCTCCATTGGAGAAATTTGCCTTTTTATCTTTTTTTTAAATATTTTATTGATTTTCTAATTTTACATTTAAGTATTTAAAAAGCAATGTGGCGGCTGAGTTAATCGATAATTCAGTAACATACAAGTATCTTTAGTACAAGTCTCAAACTACCACTTTAAATATTTCCTCTTTTCCCTTTAGTATTTACTGTCCCATGTTTAAACTAATACAATTCTTATTATATCAATTAAATAAAAATAACATCCTTACATTTATCAATAATTTTTAGCTTATACATATCCTGGTTATTTTAACATTCAGTCTTTATAGACAATCAATGTCCTAATTCAGACATGTCAAACACAAGGCCCGGGGGCCGGATGCGGCCCGCAAAGTGGTTTCATGTGGCCCGTGAAGCCATCCTGGAAACAGTGCGGGAACAGCCCCTGCTGCCTTGGCCCTGGCCCAGGCCAGCTGGGAGCCAATGTACAATTTTGTGGTGGCCATCTATGCTGAAACACATTCAGTCTTAGCGCCACAAGGCCGTCTAGAAACAGTGAGGAACCAGCCCGCCGCGTCATCTCCGCCCCCTGGGTCATGCTGGGGAGGTGTCACCCTTTGTGAGGAATGAAGAAATGGACCATGCCTTGGCGCTTGTCCCGGTCCCACCCCCTTCTGCCAGAGACCCTTAGATCTGTCCCATTCCTGCCCAGGCCCCCACAGGCATCCTTGATGCGAACGATGTAGAGCTGGCCATGCCCACCCAGTAGGCCACACCCACTCCATCTCTACCCACCCAGTAATTCGCACCCACCCGGGCCACAGCCCCCCGGCCCCCCGAGAGCAACCGCAATGCTGATGCGGCTCTCAATGAAATTGAGTTTGACACCCCTGTCCTAATTAGTTTTTCCAAATTTTTATTTTCCCATTAATGTTTAAATGTAACATTGAATATTTATAATTTCCAAGTTTTTAAGTAACCAAAGTTGCCTTTATCATAATTCATCACAAAGTCTAATATTCAGGATATATGTCTTATCTATTTGAATATATTCTATTTCTCACCATCTTACATCATCTAATTTATAATACAGTATAACATTATTATTTTCTATTAATTTCAAAATGTCTTAAATTTAGTAGCCAAAATTTCTCGTTTCAACATCAAATACTTCCTCTTTTTCTCTTAATGTCTACTATCTCATATTTAAGCTAGTACAGTTCTTATTATATCAGCTAAGTCAGGGGTAGACAACCTTGGCTCTTTTATGACTCGTGGACTTCAACTCCCAGAATTCCTGAGCCAGCCCTGCTTGCTCAGGAATTCTGGGAGTTGAAGTCCACGAGTCATAAAAGAGCCAAGGTTACCTACCCGAGCTAAGTAAAAACATGTTTATTACATTTATCAATAGATTTTTAGCTTATATATATTTTAATTACTTTTACATTCAACCTTTATAAACAAATAATATTCAAATTTAACTTTTAATATTTATACTTCCAAGTTTTAAATGACCAAGGTTTTCTTTATCTCAGTTCATAACAAAATCTAGTATTAAAGTACACATCTTATCTATTTGAGTATATTCTATTTTAATCCTCATTAATAAGTCAAAACCCCAATTTTCTTCAGCCTTATTCTAGCCTTCTTTCTTTGCCAACTCGCCTTCCATATCCGTGCCTTTAAGTCATCAAATAGATCTCCCTCTGTTATTATATATATTGTTTGAGATAAAAGAGGCCATCCAGTCACCATTTTTTTGGAAGGGCTAACAAATTGTCTATTTTTCCATCTCGACGTAGTTGTCCTGAAATATTTATCTTCCCTTCGGTCCGTTCTTCTTCTTGATCCTCAGGTTTCTTCTGGTTTATGTAGAAAGTCTTTTCCATTTTGGTGTTGTCAATCCCTTTTCTGGGTTTTCCGTTAACTGTGTTTGTTGATCAGTTGAATCTTCTATCATAGTATTTGATTGTTCCACTTCTTCTATTATATTCTGTGTAGTTGATTCTTTAGTTGTAATCAAAGTTTGGGTTCGTATATCTAGGCTGGCATCTTGTTCTTTTCTGTAGCTCCTTATTTCATCAGAAGCTATAAGAATAGTTTCATAAATTGCTTTCAACATAAAGAGAATCTTTTCCTGATCTTCATCCATGTTCTCTTAGTGGTGTGTTAAATTAAAAGCTTTACAATCAGAGAGTGAAAATAATTTTGTCACTGAGTATAGAACACAGTTGGGCTTCTCACAGCTGATATCTGCCAAGGTTGCACAAGTTGTAATATCAGGTTTAGCCACAAGATGTCACCCATACCGTTTAAGATTTTTTTAAGTCCAAAATTTTTATAATCCTTTTTCCAATTTTACTTTTTTGTAAGTAAAAACCCAAATCTTTAATAAAAATAAGAAATCTTTTAGTTCTCAAATTTTAGAAAGATAGAAATCCAGTTGGAATCAGGTTATTCTTTCAGCATTTTAAGCTCCCCTGGATAGTCAGTCGCCACTATTTTTAGAGGTTGGGATAAAATTTCCCTTCCCTCCCTCCACAGGGGAGAAAAATACTTTGGGCAGCTTAAAAAGGTAGAAAAAATAGTTAGGATTGAAGAGAGGTTCAAATCTCAACCAGTCTTATCCACGCTGCTTTATAGGTGCCTGGTGGTAAGTTTGACTTCAGCTATCTGCAGCCTAGTGATGGGCCATATTTCTATGGCCGGTCTTTCATCCGCTGGTTTGGAAGGCTGCCCCGGATTGAGCGGAAGGGCTACCGCCCTCCCGTGATCAAGCAGGGTTCCTCTCCTTGTCGCCCCTACAGGGCGACTTTTGACCCTTTCCAGGGTCCCCCAATGGTGCAAAATCGGACATGGAAGATGGAGCTCACCTTCCAGCATCTGTGGCGGACACGGTGGCAAACCAGAAGTCCGTTTTATGTTTTTAATTAGCTATAATAGGTAACCTATCTTCATTTTTCCTTGACCCTTTAATAGTATCAAAATTGTTCTAGTAAATTAAAAAAATGTTATGTATCATCTTTTGAAACTATTTTTTATTTAGTCACTAGTTGTCCCTGGCCACGCGTTGCTGTGGCTCAGTCTGGTAAAAGCGTGTGTTACTTTTACGTCCAACAGATGGCGGTTTTTTTAAAAAAAGCACATTTTTACCTGTCACAGGTGTGACATCCATATAATATAGGTATATAAAAACACGCGCGTATTCAAATGCAACGTTGTGTCAAAATTTCAAAGCAATCGGTGAAGAACTTTCGGAGATTTAAGATTTTGAACAAACGAACATTTACATTTTTATTTATATAGATTTAGTTCTTTCCTCAATAAAGATAGCTTTCAATCTTTTTTTTTTTTAAATGTCCCTAAATGTGTATGTGTGGGAAATTGGAGATGACAGATATGTTTGGGGAATTGCGATAGGACAAAGGTCTTTGAAAGTTTTGGAACAAATATGCTTGTTTCTCTTGGAGAAAATTCTGAAGGGTCTAGTTTTTTTCCCCACTACAGTCCAACACACCTCAGAGAGTTGTTGTTATGGGGAAAATAGGAGGAAGGAGTATTAGGTATGTTTGCTGCCTTACTTATAAAGCAATAAAGATGGGATAAAAATCAGATGGGCAGAAAAACTGAGGTGAGTTATTTTTTGTTTGGGACAGAACCACACATGCTTTATTATTAATAAATTAAATTAAATTATTTTAAGTTGTATAGTAAGCCCAGAAAACAATGAAGAATATCTGAATAGGATGTTACTTCCAAAATGTATAGATCAGCAAAAAAAAGTCCTTAATCATTCCATACCTCCTAAGATAAAACTAAAGAGGCAAAAAAAAAAAAAAGCTCTGGGATATGACGGCATTTCTGCAATATACCAGAATACTTTCCAAGTAATTGTAGTTAAAACTATTACTCAAGTAGTAAAAGAGATTCAGGAACACTTTTAGCTATAAATTTTAAAAGGTTTTGATTTGCTTATAGACATACAGCCTAATTTCTTTACTGAATATAGATCAGCTTTTTAAGGCAATACTCAAAGACAACAAATGGTTTTTAAATTGAAATGATATAACATAATCAGACTGGATTTGTTCTGAAGAGGTATCAGAGACAAAATCAGACATTTGTGTTATTGATTAAATCACATCAACAAAAAGTGGCTAAAATCTTTGTTTATACAGAAAACTTTTGACAATCTAGGATGAACTTTTATGTTTGCATAAAAAAAGATGTAGCTTTTTTTTCATAGGGATACAGAATATAAAGGACAAAACGCCAAGGAAATAGTAAATGACTATTTATCATTACCATGCATTATACAAAAGGGAAAAGACAATATTGTCCCTTTTCCCCTTTTCTACTGGCATTAGAACTATTGGTAATAAAAATAAGTCAAGAAAATAAAACTTCTGAAATTATATATCAATGAAATTATACTCATAGTCACTCAACCAACACTCAATACAATAGCATATATATTGGCATTGTAACAGAGGAAGGAAAACAACACCTGCATCTAGAAATGGTTTTAAGACCTAAAAAAATTTAAATACTTAATAAAATGATTTATTTAAAAATAATTATTTAAAAGGCTGGAAAAAGAAAATGGCAGTTGTTTCAGGAGAGAAGGAATAAACTTTCTTGAATTGCAGCCACCAAAGTTAATTTTTTATCAGAACTTCCTTTTCCAAATGGTTCCAATACATATTAAAAATGAGATTCACTGACTGGCATAATGAACATGGTCCAATAAAAATAAAACAAGGTTTAAATTTAATATTTTACAGGTGTTGAAAAATGAAGTGGATTGATGGCTGTAAAATTTATATTGTACCATAATGCCAATTGATTAACATGGTTTAGAATGGATCGTATTTTCATAT